GTTCCTTTAAGGTGGAACACAATGCTGTTTCTTTTTGAGAATGGAGAAAGCTTGGCCCGTCAGAATGGTTCTGTCTCTCTTACTTTCGTTTTGTAATCTGAGGAGTTTGGCAGTGGGCAGACGACGCTCTTCCTCCACGAGTGTTCAGGATGCATGGACCGATTTGTTGCTTCAGGCTATCAAAATTTGGCAATTGCTCCATGGCTGATTCTGCTCTGTCTGCTCTATGGTGGTTTGTACATGATACTGGGATTTGCATTTGGGGACGAAGTTCACCAGTTCCAGTTCTTCCATTAGCCCTGATTCGGAACTGCATCAAATTTCTGTTTTGTTGGCAATCGGCGCTCAAGTGCTCGTGACTCTTTATCTCCAGGAGATCGGCTGTTTCCGGAGAGAATCGTAAAGCTGTATCTTTCTTTTATAAATCTGATAAAACTAAAGACTCTTTGGAGATATGAAGGATGCTATACTCTATAGGTACTCAAGATTAACATGAGATTGGGTGAAATTGTGCATGTTATGTCCCCTTTAAGGTGGATGTCCAGAGTTGCTACTAAACATGCACCAACTGATGGTGTTTGCTTTGGGGAGGGAAACACTTGTTCCTTGTTTCATGTAAGACGAGACGACTGAGACCTTTCCAATATGCTTGTGTTCCGTTACAGGACTAGAAGGTTTAACAGGGCCTCCATCTGAACTGTTGGAGTCAGGTTTGGAGAGAATTTTGACTCTTAAGAAGGTTTGGTTCTTGGCCTTGGTCTGGAGGGTTTCTATAGTGTCAGCTACACTCTTGCAAATTAAATGTTAAAATGATCTACTTAAGATAATTCACAAATAACGGCGATTGGCCAGTCAGAACTCGGTTCTGTAACAAGCTGCGCACAAGCGGAAGCAAGTTTTCGTCATTTTTCGCGCAAAATGGTTCAAGCGCAACTTTTGAATTTCTTTAAAAAGAAGACAACAGAAAATTTATGATTTTTCTTTCATTAGAATTTAAAAATATACCCCTTTTTCCTCATTATTGTGCTGTATGTGTAACTGTGAGGGATTGAGAGATGATAGGAGAGCTGACATTATCGAGTCATCGACCTTGCAAAAACCAAACAAAAACACGTCCAAAAGCATGCGCGATGAAGCCTACAGGTTAAAATAACCTTATAATTCAAGCAATTAAAGAAAAAATACCCATGTATGAGTTTTTATGTTTTTATATTAATTGCACAAGCAATGCACTTTTCTGAATATCAGTAGGTTTACATGCGCGATCACAAATGTGCTATTAATTTTATACAACAGTGCATAGTAACACGGCGTTTCGTTCCTTGAATGAATCAGTTTTTGAACGAATCAAGTGAGCCAGTGATTCAACGGCCCATTCAGATGGACACTTTCCCTGCGTCCCAATGTGCATACTATCCAGCCTATCTGCCCTAAATAGTATTGAAAATTACTAATATCACATAGAATTTAGGATGGATATTGTGCACATTGGGACGCAGGCTTGTTACGTTTCTAATCTGCCCTAAATAGTATTGAAAATTACTAATATCACATAGAATTTAGGATGGATAGTATGCACATTGGGACGCAGGTTTGTTACGTTTCTAATTGAATCAGCCGTTTTGAACGAATCGTTTGATTTGAACAATTCAATAAATCATTTATCAAAACAGGGGCTTGCTGCCACCTACTGGTGGTTTTATTGTCATCATTATTTATCAGTGACAAGCCTAAACCAGCCAAGGTTTCAGCACAAAAGCACATTTGGCAAAATATTGTTTAATTATCAATATTGACCAAAATTCCTCCATTTCAGGCCCAAGAAGGAAAAAAAAAGCTTATAAATAATTGTAACAGAAAGGTTCTTCAGATGTTAAAGGTTCTTTATGGAACCATTTAGACAAAAAGGTTCTTCTATGGCATCGTGAAGCACCTTTATTTTTAAGAGTGTACTGACGCAGCTTCTCGTTCTCTACTCGGGGTTACATGTAATGGAGATGTTTTGTTTTGATAGATTGTAGAGTTGTTGAGATAGAGCCTTTCATCCAAGTTTGGCTCGACATAGTGAACAGAGATTAATATGAAATTTATGTGCACTCATTTCTGTGTGGCGGCTTGGTCCAGTGATCATCTAAACCAATTTTGAGAAAGCGAAAAAAAAAAAAAAAAAAGAATACATTACATTTTAAAACGGTGTCTCCAATAATGGGCTAATGTAAGATATTGAATGTGATCAGTGTGAGAAGATTAATCAGGTGAACTAAAAATGTTGTTTCTAAAACAAAGGGTTATAACCAGTGTGCAATTTGTGAAGGATGGGTGTTAAAACGGGTGGTAACACCGCCCCCCTCTTTTATGAAAAGAAAAACCACAGTGAAACTATATGGACTATGAAACCGTTTAGGCTATTTCACTCAGCTGTTAAAGTAACATTTATAGAATAATTATGAATTCTAGAATAATTGTATTGTTTGATCTTAAAAAAATTGGAATCTTGTAGATGATGATAAAACTTGGTGACAATGACAATGATTTCTTAATTTCTGTCAGTAGTGCAAAATCAGTTGGAAGTTATTGATATTTCAAATAGAATAATGATATGTGATGTGAAAAGAGAGAGAGAAAAAAGGACCGGAGAAGGGTTCATTCAAACTCGGGCCAATCAACCATACAATGGTGGGCAACGTTATTGTAAATAACCTTTGCCAACAAGGCACTCTTTTATTTTATTTTTCTCCAAGAAGAAGAAAAAAATCACATCCTTGGCCCCTTAGTTATGTTTCAATCACAGTGCATTTGTGAAATACAAGTTCACAGAATTGAGAATATGAATATAGTTTTGCAAGGCTACAGTCAAGCAAGAACTAAGGCACAGACAGCTCTCAGATTCAACTTTTAACGTTTGTCTGAGATGCAAACGCTTGGGAATCCAAAGTGCCCAGTCAGGAGACTTAATTCAAGGGTAGCCCGACAAGCTGACAGAAAAAAACAAAATCTCTCCTCTCTGATATGTGTTACAGAATACACCACACACAGACACACAGAATCCTCCTGGCACAGTTTAAAACTTTGAATACTGTTGTGTTCACAGTCAAATTAAGGATTTATGATTTTGCAGTTTGCATGCTTCTCCTAAAAAAGCACTAGCAGTCAATGCATGCAGCCTTTTAATAAAGTATTGAAGAAAACATGAGGATTTAACTAAGCTGTAACTGAAAATGGATAACTTTTTAAGACCAAATAAGAAAAATAATTTCTTTTTTTGATGTTTGCTAAATTTGAGCAAGATCCTCGAATTCTGTTCTGTTGCAAATCCTGCCGACCTAGATATCGTACAAAGGATTTCCAGGATGTGCCTGAAGCTGAATACCTTAATCAGAAAGGCTTGGATGATGACTTCTAAACAAATAACGCATTCATATATGAATATGCAGTATATGAAGTCACTCCTCGTGCTTGTTGGATAGCAGGTGAGGCAGGTGACAGCACAATATTTTTGAAGTATGAACGCAATAGTGAATGTGTAAAGCAAACGAGTGTAAACTCTATGAGTGAAAATGAGCAAAAAGACTTGTTCTGAAATGTGTGAATTTTGTCATGGCAACCAGAAACATTTCACACTGATTTCCTACAAGGGCTGTGCTGAAATGTTGGCTAGAAGCATAGAGATTTGTGACCCTAGCATTAGACCACCCCCTTAATTATCAGCTTTCAGATGATGTATAAATCTCAATTTCACAAAATGGACCCTTATGACTTGTTTTGTGGTCCATGGTCACATATGCAAGTACAAGCCTCGTTTGTTAAGGTGTACATATTAGGACATGCTCAGTGTCAATTCACGCAGTTGTACAGTACAGCAGCTGTCATCGAATCTGTTTAAACTGGCAGATCACTCGAACGAGTCTGGAGCAAATGTGTTTTGTGTAACATGTATGAATAAAATTATGAGTAAATGAGGGATTGGGGCTTGTCTGTTTGTTGGACATGGGTTCAAGTTATTTTTCTCAATGGCTTTCAAAAAGTGGTGGGGACTAGGGTTGCAAAAAGGTGGAAAATTTCCAGTAAATTTCGGAAATATTCCAGACATTTTGGAAACTTCCCAGGATTTTTTGGAATATTCCAGGGATTGTTGGAAATTTACCGGACATTTTCCACCCCTTTGCAACCCTAGTGGAGACATGTCTATCCCACACACAAATTACCTTTTGCAAATATTTGATAATAAAACAATAAATTTATGAATTATTAAATAATTTTGCCATTGCTACAGATTCAGACCCAAATACAAATAGTGGCTTTGCTTCACACCCTTAACAATTAAGCTTGATATTCCAGCTTGTCATTTGGGTCACACCTTAGTTTGGGGACCAATTCTCACTATTAACTATTAACTACAACTTTTGCCTCAATAAACTCCTAATTTTCTGCTTATTAATAGTTAGTAAGGTAGTTCAGGGATTTAAAATATGCTCATGCAGAATAAGACATTAATATGTGCTTTTTAAGTACTAATAAACAGCCAATATGCTAGTAATATGCATGCTAATAAGCAACTAGTTAATAGTGAGAATTGGTGCCTAAACTAAAGTGTTACCGTACTTTGCATAATTACAAAGATATGTTTTTTGGCCAAATTCTAAGGCAGCATCACAGGCATGAGTTGATGAGAAACGCTGGACATTTTTATGCATATTTACATATATGTTTATGCTCACTAGAGTATTGTGTCTTTGCTACATGCTAACTCCAAACTCTCTGGTCTTGTGTGTACAGTACTGTATGTCTCATGAGGAACCGTGTTTGTGTGATGCATGGAGGTAGATTATTCCAGATCAATCATTTATGAGATTGCATTTCAGTTAGGATGCTGCTTTAGAAAGCATAGACCTAGACAATACAACAGCTCGCTCGATTTGAAGATGCTGGGAAAGAGCTGCTGCAGAGTGACGCTAACAGCTCATTGATTGCTTAACTTAAAGATCAATTAGGACACTCACCAAACACAGTTCTGGCGGGGACAGATTCCCTGTTGAGCCAGAAAGACACCTGGGACAGGATCACGGTCATGATGCACGGCAAATATGTCTGGATGACAAAGTAACCGATCTTCCTTTTGAGGTGGAAATGTGTTTTCATGACAACATACTCTCCTGGAAGTGAAAGAGAATAGATACATTAATTAATGCGTATATTAGGACAGTCACTTAAACATGTTAATTTACCATGGTTCATTATAAAGAAATTAACACAAAATTAATGCAATTAATCGTGCTCCCTAACCCATACGTACGACAGCAGCGGCACAGAATGAATGAATCAACACATACAAACCTGTTTTCTGTCTATGCAAAGATTACTCAAAGTCTATACAACAGTATCGTTGAAGTATCTTCATTTAGGGACTTTTCTCTGCAAATACTGATATGCAAGATTAACTATAATATATCTGAACAGCTATCATGTAGTTATGTCATTTACTATTTCTTTAATGCATATAATACTGCTTATACAGTATGCATATATTATTATGGCAGATCATGCATTATTCATTAATCACTGCACTGCACCTTTTTTGTCTATATTCACGTGTATGGAAAACATCATGGAATTTATGCGCTTTATGTCTGATATTCTGCATCTGCATTTCCCACATGGGAACAAATAACCATATAGTGCTCATATGTCTCATATGTGTTTTCATCTGGAAGATGGGATATTTAGAGCATGTGCAAAACGCTACAAAATCATTCTTAGCTGATTTTAGAGCAATTCAGGAGATGCTCATGATTTAGAATGCATATGAATCTGATGTTTATCAGATGGTTTATATGCAAATATGGTGCTTAAAATAGAACATGCTCTATGATGCTCTTTTTCACATTTAAGTATTGTGCTTCTTGAAAAGCAAAGTAGAATTTGTTTTGTAGTCTGAATTAGCTTTCGGTAAACTGCATTTAAAAAAAAATTATAAATCTGCACAATGTGTGTCCAGAAGCCTGAAACCACAAGTGAAATTAAGGAAAATATTAAATAAATAAAATATTTAATACAAAAATCTTTCATCACAAATTATATTAACATCCTAATAATTTGAGTGAATAGTACACTACCATAATGTTTTTTTCTGACACAAAGAAGGTTAAAACATCAATCCGTCAAAATATTGTCATTGAAAGAGTTTACTGACTGATGATAACTAAATCCACCAAATCATATTACTGAAAAGAGAGGTAGTCCAATGAAAATGTCACCCACTTTGGATCCTTTTGTTACAGTACCTGTATCAGTTGGCCAATAAAAGAGGGAGCAGAATAATAATTTGCACATCCACAAGGGAAATTATAAAATCTGGAGCATGCTACTTTAACTAAACTTACTAAAACATCAAATCAAGTCAAATGAACATCCAGTCATATCAACATTCCCTTGTCATTTGAGGTGTAATATTGAGATTGCATAATTAAAATGTTGGGAATGCATATGTAACTGTCTGTAAATTATTTATTTGCCAAACAACTGCATTCTCATTGGTCTGTTGGCATGTTGGTGATTTCACTTGCATTTAGGAAATCAGTCTGCAAATTGCTCGCCCAAGCGCAAAAATGTGAAGCATTTTAACTGTATATTGTCATGTTTCCTCAAGCAAAGAATTTCGAAACTTCACTGAAAACTCTTTTTTACAAGTATGGCATCACATTACTATATACTGGAATCTGAGGGTGCAAAAAAATCAAAATATTCAGAAAATCGCCTTTAAAGTTGTCCAAATGAAGTTCTTAGCAATGCATATTACTAATCAAAAATTTAGTTTTGATATATTTACGGTAGGAAATTTACAAAATATCTTCATGGAACATGATCTTTACTTAATGTCCTAATGATTTTTGGCATAAAAGAAAAATCTATAATTTTGACCCATACAATGTTTTTTTGGCTATTGCTACAAATATACCCCAGCGACTTAAGACTGCTTTTGTGCTCCAGGCTCACATATATTGGAGCATGCTACTTTGGCTAAACTTACTAAAACATAACCATAGGCTTCATTTCTAAACATCAGAAGGTGGAACCACGCACCAGTGCTGGACTGCACCACACCCGAGTCCACCGTCTGTCCCATCAAGTCATACTGGTTGAGCCGAGAGCCGTCGTCAGCCACGACCACAGACTGCGCTGCCCCTCGCGTCCAAACGTACACCACCTCAGCCCTCGTGTAGGCATCTGACGCAAACAAACAACACACAGAATCAAGCGTCACTTGTCAGCCGTATATACTGCAGCGGACTCTCAAGCACAGCGGAGACGCAGCACACGCTGAAATATTTAGAGCCTCGTGGCTTTGAGTCACAAGCTTGTTTTTTATTCATGTGTCTTCCCCCCCTCACTCTTCCTCCAGCGCAGACGCATCTGTTCTTTCTCTGCGAGGATTAGTTGGGTCGGGGTAGATCTCGCTAAATCCGTTCGGCTGGCTGAGTGGATGCGGGTGTGTGACGTGTTGTGTCAGAGATGATCTCTACGCTCTGTGGGCCTAAGAGAGAGTCCCCATCTGCTCACACTACTCAGCCTGGAGACTCGCAGTAATATGTGAACTTTCAACCGAAGCGTGTAAAATGACGCAGTACTTACAGCTGCCGAATTTGAGAGGGCATGCATGGGCGTCCATTGGGAAGTCCTCCAAATGCATCGGACATTCAGCTCTGACTGTAAGCCTGAGACAGACAGAGAGAAAGCGTGATACAATATTATAGTTTTGACTGTTAATTAACCCCCACCCCACTGATACATTTGGACGAGGATACATGTATTTGTATATAATTGTTATTAAGCGGTGTAAAGCAATGCATTAATATGGAACTCCACTGATGTGCTGTTGCTGCTCGCCCATTCTGAATTTAAAGATGTAACCATACATTTTTCCATTTGTGACCCTGGAGCACAAAACCAGTCATAAGGGTCAATTTTTTGAAATTGGGATTGAAGCATCATCTGAATATATAAGCTTTCCATTGATGTATGGTTTGTTAGGATAGGACAATATTTGGCCGAGATACAACTGAGAATCTGAGGGTGCAAAAAATCTAAATATTGAGAAAATCACCTTTAAAGATGTCCAAATGAAGTTCTTAGCAATGCATATTACTAATCAAAAATTAAGTTTTGATATATTTACGGTAAGAAATTTACAAAATATCGTCATGGAACATGATCTTTACTTAATATCCTAATGATTTTTGGCATAAAAGAAAAATCTGTAATTTTGACCCATACAATGTATTGTACAAATATACAAATATAATACATTTTGTGGTCCAGGGTCACATTTGTGTTTATTATAGCATTAAATTAGCTATATTATCTAAATACTATGCATACTGAAGCCATCTGAGGCTAAATATGAACAGTCCCTTGTCATTTGAGGTGTAACATTGAAATTGCATAATTAAAATGTTGGGAATGCATATGAAACGGTCTGTAAATTATTTATTTGCCAAACAACTGCAATTTTCTGCAAATCTGAGACAGTTCCAGAGGGATTCAGATGAGTGGATCCACATCAGCTTTGGCGTCTGCGCTCTCTTGCTATGAATTGTCATTATTGTTCTGTGTTCTCATTGGTTTGTTGGCATGTTGGTGATTTCACGTGCATTTAGGAAATCAGTCTGCAAATTACTCGCCCAAGCGCGAAAATGTGAAACATTTTAACTGTATATTGTCATGTTTCCTCAACCAAAGAATTTCGAAACTTCACTGAAAACTCTTTTTAAAAGTATGACATCACATTACTATTTATTCCCTACCACTCCCTACCATTTAACCTAACCAGTATATACATCCTACACTGACACCTAACTGTAAGGTTTTACCAGATGGTCTTAGTATAATTATCTTTAATTATCTTTAATATTATCTTTAATATGAGGATATATTTACTTATCAAGTAAACTTTAAAAAATGTAAAAGTTCAACCATCGCTTTCAGAGAAATGTATCAAAATTTAGTGAGATTGCTGCTTTAATAAAGCAAAAACACCTGCCAGTGGTTTATAAAAATTACAATAGAGGATATTATTAGTATTATTATTATTATTAATAATAGAAAAATAATCTGGCATGTTTTAGTCCAGATTAAAATCCAAAAATGTACAAGGGTAAACAAAAGTATTTGGTGTTGTTTGATAAACGCCGAAGTGAATACAATACTGAATATCTGTTTGAAAACATTTAAATACTGTTGTGACTTCCTTTCTTGTCCATCAATGTCAGAAATGTCAGAAAAAGAAAGTTTGTGTACAGCAGTAACCATGGTTACCACAGTATTCCTTCTGTCCCATAAGCGCCACCTACTGTCAGAGAGTGAACTTGCATTTCTATTCAGCCCTGATTTTGCTCAGACCCACAGCAAACATGCAGTGTTGTAAAATGTAACTGGTCAGTGGAAGTTAAGTTAATGTGCTTACTAAAAATCCAAACAATTCAGATAATAAGGTATCTAGATTTATTAACCTATCTTGAAGTGCCCACGATAACACAGTGCACCGCTGTTTCATTGACACAGCGTCTTCAAAGCACTCGTGAATTCAGAATTAAACCAATAACATCTTTTCCTCTTCTATGCACCATGACTGACACAAGCAAACTTCATCAAAGCTATTATTACCATGCATTACTGTCTGAACCCCTGGCATATGGGGACCTGTGCAACCGCTTATATGTCTTATTATGCACTGGTCAGACCGCCCATTTTACACAGGAATTACTACTGCTCAGTTCTCTGACAACATGATAAATCAGTAAATGTCAACCCCCTATTGACACAAATATGAACTTCCATCATAATCTACTAATTAAGCAGTCTAAAGGATGCTTTATAACATGTGTTGTCCTGATGTGTGCGACTGTGCGTTAGTCCCGAGAGGCTGAGGTCCATGTTATTTATGACACAGCCAAATATAAAATTATACTAGCAATCCAAAATATACATTTATAGACTAATACTTAAAAAAAAAAAATTTGAATATATTTCTATGCTGAGAGAGACCCAGATCGCTTCAGATCAAACACCAACATTAAAAGGAAATGACATGAAAAGGTGATTATTTTCTGAGGAAAATAAGCAGCAGCTTCACCTCATGGTGTAAAGCAGAGTTCCTTCCTCTGTGATCCGCAGCAGTTTGTTAGGCATGGTCATGTTATGGGCGACTGACTTCTTTCCGTTGTGGAAAAACGTGTCGGGGGTCCAGATTTTGCTGGCCATGAGATTGTTGAGACGGAGCACAGCCATAGGACCTTTGAACTTCAGCCTCTCGTCCTTCCAGCTCTGCCTGAAGAACACATCGATGGTGTACTCCTGCAAGACCACCGATAACACATCGTTTTCTCATCCCATGCGTGGAGAAATGCTAAAAATTATTGTCAAATTCAGTTTAAATGTAAGTGTACACTCTCAGAAAAAAAGGTACAAAAGCTGTCAGTGGGGCGGTACCTTTTCAAAAGGTACTTTTTTGTACCTTTTAGTTGCTTATATGTACCTTTAAGGTACAAATATGGACTCTTTAGGTACAAAGGTCAGGTGCTGTCAAGCTCCAAATAGAACAAAAATAAGCTCCTTTTTCATTCATCCTCAATTGCTTTGCGGATTCGGTCCCACTTTATATTGTGTCCCTAATACCTGTGTACTTACATAGTAACTAGATGTG